TATCAACTAAGTTTATGTAATATTCTAAATCCTTTGTTGTCATTTCAACAATCTTCACCGCATCTTCACCAGAAATAGATTCCATCTCAAGAAACCATTTTCTTTGCTCATCCATAAGAAGCAATTCCTCATCTGTTAAGTTTTATTATGAGATTGCAGCAATTCAGTCGTAACTTCAGGTTTCACTTTTAACTCTAGTTCTCTTGTTATTTCCATCACATCTGCAGTTACTTCCCCCACTGAAGCCTTGAACTCTTCAAAGTCATCCATGAGAGTTGGAATCAACTTCTTTCGAACTCCTGTTAATGTTGATATTTTGACCTCTTCCCATGAATCATGAATGTTCTTAATTCAGAATGGTGAATCCTTTCCAAAAAGTTTTCAATTTAATTTGCCCAGATTCATCAGAGGACTCACCACCTATGGCAGCTATAGTCTTATGAAACATACTTCTTAAATAACAAGACTTGAAAGTCAAGATTACTCCTCGATCCATGGGCTGCAGAATGGATGTTGTGCTAGCAGGCATGAAAACAACACTAATCTCGTTGTCCATCTCCCTCAGAGCTCTTGGGTGACCAGGTACATTGTCAATGAGCTGTAATATTTTGAAAGGAATCTTTTATTCTGAGCAGTAAGTCTCAACAGAGGGCTTAAAATATTCAGTAAGCCATGTTGTAAACAAATGTGCTGTGATCCATACTTTGTTGTTCCATTTATAGAGCACAGGCAGACTAGATTTAGCATAACTCTTAATGGCCCTAGGATTTTCAGAATGGTAAATGAGCATTAGCTTCAACTTAAAGTCACCAGCTGCATTAGCCCCTAGCAAGAGAGTCAGCCTGTCCTTTGAAGCTTTGAAGCCAGGCATTGACTTCTCCTCTCTAGCTATGAAAGTCCTAGATGGCATCTTCTTCCAATAGAAGGGTATTTCATCTACACTGAAAATCTGTTGCTTAGGGTAGCCACCTTCATTAGTTATCTTAGCTGGATCTTCTGGATAACTTGCTGTAGCTTCTACATCAGCACTTGCTGCTTCACCTTGCACTTTTATGTTATAGAGACGGCTTCTTTCCTTAAACCTCATGAACCAACCTCTGCTTGCTTCAAACTTCTCTTCGTCAGATTCCTCCCCTCTCTCAGCCTTCACAGAATTCAAGTGAGTTAGGGCCTTGCTCTGGATTAGGCTTTGACTTAAGAGAATGTTGTGGCTGGTCTGATCTTCTACCCAGACCACTAAAACTTTCTCCATTTCAGCAATAACGCTGTTTTGCTTTCTTGTCATTTGTGTATTCACTGGAGTCGCACTTTTAATTTCCTTCAGGAACTTTTCCTTTGCGTTCACAACTTGGTTAACTGTTTTTGGCACAAGAGGCCTAGCTTTTGGTCTATCTCAGCTTTCGACATGCCTTCCTCACTAAGCTTAATCATTTCTAGCTATTGATTTAAAGTGAGAGATGTGCAACTCTTCCTTTCACTTGAACACTTAGAGGCCAGTGTAGGGTTATTCACTAGCCTAATTTCAATTGTTGTGCCTCAGGGAATAGGGAGGGGCGAAGAGAGGGAGATGGACAAATGGCTGGTCGGTGGAGCAGTCAGAACACACACATTTATTGATTAAGTTCGCCATTTTGTATGGGCACGGTCTGTGGCACCCAAAACAATTACAATGGTAACATCAAAGATCACTGCTCACAGATCACCATAACAAATAATAACGAAAAAGTTTGAAATATTCCAAGAATTACCAAAATGTGACACAGAGACACGAAGTGAGCAAACGCTATTGGAAAAACGGTGTTGACAGACTTGCTCAATGCAGGGTTGCCAAAAACTTTCATTTCGTAAAAAGCGCAATATCTGCAAAGTGCAATAAAACGAGGTATACCTGTACTATTCCCAAAGGATTTTTAAGTCTCAGTCTTTTCCCTTTTTTTTTTTTTTTTTTTTAAAGATTTTATTTATTCAGTTTTTTCCCCCCAAAGCCCCAGTAGATAGTTGTACGTCATAGGTTCACATCCTTCTAGTTGCTGTACGTGGGACTCGGCCTCGCGTTGGACGGAGAAGTGTTGCCTCGGGGCGCTCCCGGGATCCGAACCCGGGCCACCAGCATCAGAGCGCGCGCACTTAACCGCTAAGCCACGGGGCCGGCCCTCCCTTTTTTTTAAGAATTGTCCTGTGGCATTTACGTGTTTAGTCATAGTTCAATTGGAGAAATTAAGAAAGAATTTCTGAAACTAGAATTGTATTCACATTCATCACACCTATAAGGTGAAATAAGAAAGACCCCATAGGGTCCCTCAGGAGGGCAGGATGTGGATACCCCTGATCCAAATCCCAGCAGGCCTCCCTGGCCGAGGGGCTGGGGACCCAATATGTCCTCCCAAGCCTCTACTCATGTGTAAAATAGGGCAATACCATTATTTCATAGAATATTGTGAGTGGCAATGAGGTCACAGCCACACATTTCTTAGCACAGTGCTTGGGACAGTGTTCAATAAATGTTCATTTACCTTCTCTTCTCTTCACCTAAATTATCATTTTAGTTACACCATTTCTCCAAAATCATCTACAAGAACATCACAAGTTATTCATATTATTGGAAGCTTACATTGATAAAACATGAGGGGAAAGTCAAGGATAAATTAGGATTCCCACCTCTAGTTAACAGCATCAATTCCTGCAGAAGTAAATGCGAAACGCAGGCAGAGAGGGAAGTGGAAGTCTCCTGCAGATAAGCTTCCAGACTGCAGGCTTCTCTGTGACAGGACATCATCAGGGATGGCTAGCCTCCCTGCTCAACAGGAGGACTGGCAGTGCTTACACACCTGCGGGCCTTCATTTGCACTTACACTCATAGACGAGCGTCTCCCCACTATGGTGCTCTGCAAACCCCCTCACTAGCACTTAGCATCAAACACAAAGTTCAACAAGCTCCACTGTCAGGGACAGATTCATCCCTCACATGAAATCTCAGAGATGCAGGAGGCCTTCACAGGTCTCCTAGTGTAACCACATTTAAAACCCTCCTGTCAATTGATTTCTGCACATTTCCTGTAACAGGGAACTCAATTTCCACGCCCATTCTACACAGCCCATTCTCCTGAGAAGCTCTTTTAGGAATTCCTCCCGATAGCACACAGAACTGAAATATCTCCCCACTTCTTCTACCTGGGGTTCAGACTCCACTCACTAGGGCTGGTTGGGACAAGTTAAATGTCTCTTTCACTAGACTTCTTCACAGTGCTGAGGACAGTGGCTACTCCAAGTTCCTTAGGCTCCACTGCCATTTCCTGGCGGGATCTGGCCTGGTCAGAGCTGCCCTGAGGACAAACAGTGTGGCCATCACCATCCAGACTCTAGGACTCTGTCCAGGACCTTCCATACGACATGAAAGAAGTTCCTCCACTACCTAAATAGTAAACTCCTGAAAATGGGCTGGTGGGCATGCAGGTAGCAAAGGGGAGGGCAGCTTTCTGCTCCCTTTCTGCTGCCTTGCGTCAGAGTGACTCAGCTGCTGGCTGCCTGGATGCTCGAGGCCTCATGGGGATGAGTCAATCGGAGGTACAGATCAAAGATGCAGAGGTCCAGATCAAGACAGTCGGAGGCCCTGACCTGCTCTGCCCCACTGTCCCGCTATTTTTTAGGCAGGAAAAGCCATGGGCAGAGGTTACAGCTACCTGACCCTGCTCCAGCATTTGCCAAATTGAAATCTATCAAGTAACTCGGGAACAGCCCTGCTCCCACAGTGGCCTAAGCTGAGGAGTCAATGGTCAACAACAAACCACAGCTGGAGAATAAGTCTCTGGTTACAAAAACAGACACACAAACTAAGGACACATTCACTCCGAAGAAAACATAAAATAACAGTCGCTCTCCACATTCAACCCAGGGCTGCAGGACAGTAGGCAGCGTGTTATCGGTGCAGAGTGGCTCTTGAGACCCCCACCTAATCCTGACGCGATGTGCATAGAGGGACTGTGAAAAAGGCCAAGTGCATGGCGCTGGCAGAATTGTGACAAAGGTTAAGGGCAGTACCATGCAGAAGAACGTGGTAAGAGAAATTCTCCCAAGTTCTGAATAACAGACCACTTGTAGTTATGGTTCCTGTGGCTACAGAGAGAACTGCCCCACTAAACATGGCATGAGACCTGAAAGATCAGTGACACAGGGTCGAGAAGCATCAAGCACACACCAGTCCCTTCCTTCTTCACAATCTCTCACTGTGCTCAGACAATAACACTGAGACCAAGGCGTCACAGCCAGCTGCCAAGTGGCACCAACGATCCCAGGCAGACACTGGACCAGCACATGTCTTAAGCCAGAATCAAGGTTCTATTTTCCTAGAGTCTCAAAACTATAACACAGAGCACTACATTGTTCCCTTGTCACTTCTCATACCCTGTTACCTTGACAAGGGGCCGCTGTGAATGCCTTCCCTGCCTGACCCTCCCAGGGGTTTTACACAGGCAGGCAGGCCAGGGCAGGCAGGCTGGGATGCCATCTGGAAGCCCTGTTCCATGTCACCCTGAGAGGCTCTAGCTGACCAGCTGCACCTGCCCCTCCAACAGGAGCACCCTGCCCCTGTAAACCACCTGCCAAACACAACTGCCTGTGTTCATGTCTGCGCTCCCTTTCTAGACAGTTAGGGACGGATAGAGAATGGGCTCTGAAGGTCACACTCATCTGTGCGTTCCCTAGGCTCTAAATGGCGGACTATTCAGTAAATGGTTCCTGAAATTACAAGGCTCAGCAGCCCCCCAAGACCCCAGAAGGTGACACTGAGCCTGGGCGGCACCCTATGCAAGTGACAGCGGGCATGACCAGGCCGACGCTGACCTGACCAACTGCTGCTGCCTGCTAGGCGAGGGTCGTCTGTGGTGCTACATGGCTCTCGGTGACCCTGGAAAATCAGTGGCTGGGAGTCCCCCACTTGCACCTCCTCCTCCAGCTTGGCACACATGCCTTCCACACAGCAAGTTCTGGCAGTGCACACCCACCTGCTCGTCGACGTAGGCGTCGATCCTCTTCTGGCACTCCAGCCACTCCTCGGCCACCCTGTGCAGCTCCTCCTCGGAACGCTGGTACCGCTGCAGCAGGGTGCTGTATGTGTCCTCATCGCAGGTGTCGTGCGTCGTGGTCCCCAGCCTAGGGAGACAGGCCTTTCAACAAAAGAAAGGGGCCCAAAGGCTCTGGGCCAGTGACCAGAGGTTTTGCTTCTGTTTGTCACTTCCCCTCCCAATGTGACAAGTGGGACACCACTACACACCACACTAGTTGCTGTGAGGGATTAATAAGTACATATGCAAAGCACCCAGAACAGAATCTTGCATAAAGGAGAAGCTCGAAGAAGTAATAGCTCCTAAGAAAAAAAAATTAGTGGTAAATAACACTATTCTAAAAAGACTAAGGCGTAGTGATTCAGTTTACTAAACACAGGGTTGTAAACTATTTTTTGCCTATTGAAATACACTAACCAAGAGAAAACAAAACACTTAATGAGAAATACAAAATTTGGACCTGGTTTTCAAATTAAGTAAAACAGAAAATTAGATTCAACCAAAGAAATATAGTTTTATTTATTCTGTATTACAAGAAAGATGGTAAGCTGGCAAATGAGAAAAACAGAAAACGAAAAACACACACAGGTCAACAATGAGGACAACATGCAGATTTCTGAAAAAAAGGATATGGGGCAAGGTGGTGGCCTGGGAGAAAGTAGGAAGCCGGGGAGCGTTGGGGGTATGGACGTTACCACGCATGTTACCAACAGAAACTGTTCATTTCCTTAGCATCTAAATATATCAACATTTGAACCAAAATAACTATAATCAAGACATCTTGACAAGGAGTTTCAAAATCAAAGACAACATTTATAGTTGCTCAAGAGCACAATGACGACGTGCACGGTTAATAAACCAGTGTTGCTGGGGCTGGCCCGGTGGTGTAGTGGTTAAGTTAGTGTGCTCTGCTTTGGTGGCCCAGGGCTCTCGGGTTCGGATCCCGGGAGCGGACCTATACACTGCTCATCAAGCCACGCTGTGGACGCGTCCCACATACAAAATGGAGGAAGAGTGGCACAGATGTTAGCTCAGGGCCAATCTTGCTCACCAAAAAAAATAAATAACAATCAGTGTTGTTTATATATAAAGAACTGGAAGCTACTCATTGGGAACCACTGAAAGACATTCTGGCACATCTAGACAAAGGGATTCTGGGTACGTAGGCACTCATTACAAACTTTATATACATCTACTCATTCATGCATGCATACATACATACATATACTTACATACATATGTTCTGAAATGGAAATACGCCCATGTTAAGTAAAAATATGACTATGGCATCCTATTTACAAATATGTGTATGAAGGGGTGGACATAGGAAAAAAAATCTAGAAGAAGCACCAAATTGTTTATAATACCTACCTCTCTTCATGATTTTCTATATTTTCAGAATTTTATTGCAATGACAATCTAATAATTTATAATAAAAATAAATAATAAGGCAATTTTAAAATCAGAACCTTTTCAATGGGTGTAAATGGCTCCCTCTTCTTTTACCTGTCTCCACCCTTGGGTGAAGGTGAATCATACTTGTGACCACGTGAAAACGGAGAACTTGCCAATGAATTCATGGTTGCTGAAGTTATCCACATACATGTCCATCTATGAAATTCACTTCAAAGAGGGAGCACGCAGAAATCAGGTGTAACTGAAAAGCTATTTAGGGAAGCCCAGAAAATGAGAGAGAACGATATTGACCCACATGGTGACTGAGGCTCTCTCAAACATCAAGGCTGTTCTTCTAAGGCTGTTTCTGCCCCTCAGGAAACAACACCCGTCAAGACACAGAACCCAGTGACTCTCTGAGGCTCCTCTGGGCTCTGCACAGGGCCAGGTGACCCCCAGGCCTGAGCACAGTCTTCCGTCTCACCAGGCAGCAGCCAACGAAGCAGTTTTCTCTCCACTCCTGTTTCTGCAACCTTGCTCGTCACAGACTGATTTCCACTTTTCACTCAAAACCCACCTCCTACGTAATGCCATCCTGCCCCTCTTGTACCACTTGGAAAACTCAGATGCTAAAGGGGCACCGGCATCAGCCCAGCATGCACTTCTCTTTGCACTCTTACCAGAAGCAAGAACTGCTCTCCTACACTATGATATAGATGGTATTTCAAGCCAATGGAGAGCAAAGTAGTCCAGGGGTCCTGGGACATCTTTGGTGGGGTAACTGGAGCACAATCTGTAGGCACAGGGCTTACATTCAAGCAAAGGTGGGCTGGAATCCAGAGAGGAAACAGGGGAGCTACTAGATGGCAGGGAATATCCTCAGGGTCAAATGACATCAATGGTTCAGCAAACAGGTTACTATCCAAATACTCACTTTGCAAACACATGACAGCACTGGAAAGATATTCATGGTAATATCTATCACAAATAATGTGTAAGTGAAACAATAAGTGACAAGGACAATGAAATAAAATCAGTTTGGGTAAATTTATTTAAAATTAAAAATTTAAATTTTAATTAAAATCTTCCCTGACAATATATTATATATTTAAAATAAAGACTAAATTGGGCAATAGTTATTCATATCCACAATGACAAATAAGCAGATACAATGAGGCTCCCAGTCTTGCCACCGCGACAGAAGCAGAGACTGAGAGACCTTCTGGATCCAGCCACCAACTCTCAGGCAGTACAGACAGAGGGTCTGCTGGATGCCCCATGAGCACACACACTGCAGGATCCAGACCCTGGGCATCAAGACAGGACAAAGGGCTCAGGTTCTTGAACAGATAAATTGTAAGGGAAAAGGGGGTAGGGGTGGGGTACCTACAGATTAAAGAATATCAAAAGACACGGAAAAAGAAGCAGGGGGAGTGGGGAGTCACTGTTTCCTGGGGATACTCTCTGCTTGGGGTGATGACAAAGTTTTGGAAATAGATACTGGTGACGGTTGCCCAATATTGTGAATGTAATTAATGCTATTGAATTATACACTTAAAAATGGTTAAAATGGCAAGTTTTATGTTACCTATATTTTACCACAATTTTAAAAAACTAATAACGTAATATACCAATAGCCACTGAATTGTACACTTTAAATGAATGAATTGTACAGTTATTTGAATTATATCTCAACCAAGTTGTTAAAAAAAGAGAGAGAAATAACATTCCTAAACTAAGTCAGTTACTTTAATGAGGTCAACCTTTGGGTAGATAACTTGTGTTAAAAGAAAAAAAAAAAGATACATCTAATAAAAATTCAGGCAACACTATGGAAATGCACACGTAACAAGAGAAAGACACGAAAGAGCGAGACTGTGCCCACTCAGTGACAGCTCTGAGAGAGGCGTCCATCCTGTACAGGCTCAAGGAGGGACTTGCTTCTAGGGGCCACAGTGGGTGGTAGCTATGGGATGTTCGCCTGCCACTGAGCTATACATTTGCTTTGTGTAGTTTTCTGTATCTGTGTTTTACTTTGTTAAACACAGGCCCAGAGATAAAGTGTCAACATTAAAATACAACTATGGATTTCATGTGCCCCAGATGTGGTCATTACTTTAGGGGTGGTGTTTGTAGATAACTTGTCACAGAAGTTTTATGAGTTGTTAAATGGGTATCCATACACTAGAAGCTCAAATGTGAATTATTCTAGGGTCCCACAAAGGCGCCCACCGGGGAACTCAGAGGAGCCGCTCCTCTTGGCATCACCAGCCTCCTGGGAAACGCTCTGCTTGCCTTGCCCTCAGCTCCTCTTGTCTCTATTTCCCCCTCCCTCACCTGCTCCTGAGAGCAATACTATAGCTTGACCCCAGAATTAACATTTAAGATTCTAAAACACTGCTGATCTTTGGAGTCTGACCATTATTCCCAATGAGAAAATGAGAAATCCAGAACCAGGGTACAGAAAAAAAATGGAGTTTTATAACACATTTCAGGTTTCTGTCACCCACCCACAGTTGGACAACAGGTCCACCAAACTCACTGGCTCGCCAGAAAAAAAAAAACAAGGCTGAATACCCTGGAATCTTGCTGTAAGAACCCTCCCCCCAGATGCATGTCTTTTTATAAAAAGTGCTTTTGGTGGATCTGAACGTTCTAACTAGGGACAAAACCATGTTCTGCATTTCAAACTCATGACTTCCAATATTCTCCTGACTCTTTTCTTCCGTGAGGGTGGCAGTTGGGACACTCAAGTCTCTATGCACTCACCAGTGAATGTAGCGGATGCTTTCAGCATGGACACAGAAGGGGAAGCAGGCTGTGGTGAAGGGGATGCTGGAAGGGTGAGGAACCAACCAGAGTGCAGGCCACACTCACATAAGACTTCATCCCCTTACCTAACTGTTTTTAAGGTTATTCTTTCTCCAGAGGTGAGAATGTGAAGTGGGAACAAATAGGATTTAGGAATACAGGAAATAAAGACTGGGTGGATACATGGGTTTCAAGAGAAAAAAAAAAAGTGGTGTATAAGTCAACTACAACAATAATTTGTTTACTTAAAAGTCATTTCCCTTCTTTGTGAATCTGGCCCCAATATATTTCAATACAGACATTTAAATAAAGATGACTATAGTCTGTGCTGTTATGATGCATCTATAGTGTGGGAATCTGTTCACATGTGGTAAGTAGATAAGGAACAAAATCACCGTGCTGCAGAACTGCGGGAGCTCAGGCCTGGCTCAGCAGTGCAGAGTGAGAGCAGATCAGAGGAGCCTCCTCCCAGCTGAGCACAGCTAAGTCGGAGCAAACAAACCCTGAGTTGAGCCTTCTCACTTCCCCTGTCACCAGGGCAAATGCCCCCAAGTACTGTACCTGGTATACTCCTCTTGGCACACATGATGAAGCACCATGGATACTTTACACCAGTAAGAAGAACCCAAGCCGTGAACAAAGACACTGAGGGAACTTTTGAGAGATGCAACAGTGTGTCTAATCCCTATGCCCAGTGCCTAGGAGCCCCTTGGCACCATCATACCCATCAGCCATCCTCCTCTCTCCTCTTCCCACCTTTCACCTTCCTCCTCTCATCTCCCACTTCCCTCCTCCCACCTCATCTTCCCTGTACACCCAAGTGCCACAGCACAGACGATACCATAGCCACCTGGCCAAGCCTGAGTCTCGTCAAGGTAAAACACTATATTTACCACAACTTTTCCTTGTTTATGAGGAATTTGTGGTGTTAAATCTTACTAGTACTACTATTGGGTTTGTTATTTTCAAGTTTAATCGTATTACTCTTCGGGTTTTTAGCTTTCTGCCCAAAGTGTATTTTTCCGAGTCCTGTGATTTTTCCAGCAAGAATTTCCACACTACAGCGGTGTTCAGATACACACACGCTACACCACAGGGAAAAGAACCGTGCTGTCACATACCACGGGGACATATGCAGATTAAGACCAAATACCTGATCTGCGACACCAGTGCTGGCAAGTTGCTCTGGAGAAGTGGCTCCGAAAAGACCAAATTTTCAAATAGGTGTTTATTATGGAGTTCCCATGTCACCTGGAACTTTTTCAAGTGTTCGTTTTCCTAGTTAAAAATAAATAGAAGACGTACTGAATTGATGAAGACTAAAAAACCCCAGAAGGATTTCCTCCCCACTCCACATTCACATCCCTCTACAAATGTCCAGAACATTCTCCTTACAAGGAGTCATTGCTCCCTGTACGTCCTAAAGTGCACACTGATGCAGATTTCTGACTATACGGACACGCAACCCCACTTAGCCTCCCTTCTAAATAACTTACACACAGCAGAAAGGGTCGCAAGACGCACACAGATGAAGGGACAGAGAAAGAAGAGAAACAATTGCACATATTTGACAGTCATTTCTTATAATTATGCTTTCAAAAATGTATCTAGGGGCCAGCCCAGTGGCGTAGTGGTTAACTGTGCACGCTCTGTTGTTGGCGGCCCGGGTTTGGATCCCGGGCGCGCACCGAGGCACCACTTGTCAGACCATGCTGTGGCGGCATCCCATATAAAGTGGAGGAAGATAGGCATAGATGTTAGCCCAGGGCCAGTCTTCCTCAGCAACAAGAGAAGGATTGGCATGGAAGTCAGCTCAGGGCTGATCTTCCTCACCAAAAAAAAAAAAAAAAAAAAAGGTGTGGTATCTAAAGCCCTACTTTTCAAACAATTTAAATGCATACAAATCCTTTGACGTCAAAGGACAATTATTTTCTTCCCTATCAGAATCTCCCATTCTGATTGAAGCAAATAATTTCTCCACTAGTGAAGGGTCACTCCGTGAAAGGTCAGGTCTTTCGTTTCCCTAATAAATGTGGGTAAACTCGTCAGTTACTTTAGACAACAACTTCTAAACATTTGAGAGCATCCTGGCCATCACAGAGTGTGACATCAAGAGACGTCCACTTGCCCTCAACACAAGGTGACCAGGATAGATGGCGTGAGTACCTTTCCTAAACGCAGCGTTCACTCTTAACAGGTCTTGCTACAACCATGCATGTGTGAATCCATGCTTCCATCTGTAAGCTACTCGTACACTACTTGTGTCGAATCATCTTACACTCGAATCATCTTACATTCTGTTCCTTACCTAAACGATGGACAGCTCGAGAAACTGCTTATCATTATGCATTCACACTCAGGCTCTCCTCTGAATTGGATTACTCAGAGTGACTAAATTTAGTGGTCTGTTCTAATTTACATGTAGCCAAACTGAGTTGAAATGATCACACCTGGAGATGTTAGTAAACGATCTACACATGAAGATTCCATTGTTTTGTCATCTGATAATTGGTTGACACAGGGGGCTGGAGAAGTTAAAATGATCAATTCCTATTCCTGAAAACAAACATCTGTAAGATGATGTGGTGAGCACACCAGTGATACTGCTATACCATGTACATATATATGCCAGCTCTGCTAGTTACAGTCCCCTTTTTATACCCTAAAAACATAAAGAGAGAGATTTAGCAAAGAATCTATGACATCTGCAGAGAACCTCAAACCCTCAATTCTGTCAATGTTTTCAGTGCTTGCTCCCACTGTATGTTTTACTAAAATACCAGCGCCTCCCAGACTTGAATTTTATCACTCCTATTTCACACCCAGAATATCTCAGCGCCATTACTCAACAGAGAAAAGTTGGGCAGGGCAGAAGACCAGGGCCTGGCAACCAATAAACTCAGCCTGAGGCCTGTAATGAGAAACTGTTACCCAAGAATGTGCCTGTAATAACGCTGTGGCCACAAAGTGTCAAAAGGACACATGCCATACACTTCAGCAGAGACTCTGCACAGGCTCTGTGCAGGTACAGGGACACAAAGACTAATACAGTAGGTCCCTGTCCTTCAGGAGTCCCCCAGGGACAGAAGAGCAGGTGTTGATCTGACTTATTATTTGTCTCCATGACAAAGAACATTTAGGAGCTAAGGCAGCAGGCAGGCCAGGCCCTCAGTCAGCTGAGGGAGGGTTCAGGGAAGGCGTCCCAAGAGAGCCAAGGTCTTGCCTGGCCTCTTCCATAAATCTTCAGGACAGAGTAAGTGGTTCCTGCTTGCCAGCCTGTGAGCAACCTCAGGCATCGTGTTACAATACTTGCAGGGCAGGATCACAGCTCTGGCTTTTGGGCTCATGTTAACTAAAGGCAACTGGATAAAGATTGATTTATGAAGACATTCAGCATTTTTTTTTTTTTTTTGGTGAGGAAGATCAGCCCTGAGCTAACATCTATTGCCAATCCTCCTCCTTTTTTGTTTTTTTCCTCCCAAAAGCCCCAGTAAATAGTTGTGTGTCATAGTTGCACATCCTTCTAGTTGCTGTATGTGGGACGCAGCCTCAGCATGGCCAGAAAAGCGGTGCGTCGGTGCGTGCCCAGGATCTGAGCCCGGGCCGCCAGTAGCAGAGCGCACACACTTAACCGCTAAGCCACAGGGCCGGCCCTGATATTCAGCATTTTTAATGAAATCTGCAATTATACTTCCAGGTGAGGCAGGCCAGAGAAACAGCAGACCCTAAACTCATTTCACAACCTGAAATCAACTTAGGATAACAACATGTGCATTACGGAGTGCTTCCTGTGGGCCAGGCAATGTTCTTAGTGCTTCCCGCACTAAGAACTCATCAGCAGCACCTGCAATAACCCTGAACTTGGTGCTGCCGTGCTCCACTCACAGGCCAGAAACAGACTACAGAGGCTGACCAACTTGCCCAGGGAATGTGGGGACTGGGGTCTATGGGAGATGTGCTGTCACAGCTGCTATGAGAGGATGGCAGACTCGGTGCTGCCTAAGCTAGAGGCACAAAGAAAAAGCTCACCAAGGACTCGACCTCAGGCTTTTCTATCCAAACCAGTCTTACTTCCCACGTTCAACTGCAAAAAGGTTTTTGAGGGTTTGGAAGGAAGAGGAAGTGTTTAGAATCAAGTCCTACAATACACCTTGAGAAGTAACAGGATGTTCAATATTATTATAGCCTGGTAAGGTGTTTCCTAGATGGCTGAAGGCATAACTTAAGTCTAGTCCCAACTTTAATACTTAAAATAAATAGAAAAAATGTGACCCTATTATCCTGTCTGATCCCTGGGGAAGTATGGAATAAATCCCACAAGCAAGTGCATTTCCCAGGAAAGTCACATTTTTGAAAAGACCTTTCTATGTCCAAATGTGTTTCATGGGTTCTGCAGAATCAGGGGAATGGGAATACTGTTTACAGAGAAGCTACTGGGGTTGGCAGAGAATCAGCCAGCATCGTTCACACAGCAAGTGAACTTCTTGCCTCAAGGAAAACAACTATTTGTGGCCAATCATAAAATCTGAGCTTTCAAGCAAAATTAGAACTTAGGAACACTTGTACCTGCCACCATGGCCCTGAAGCTTCTCCACATTTAAAGACCCTTCTGAAGAGGATCAGCGCTGAGTTAACAAAGGTCTTTTTTTTTAATATTGAATATCATGTTGTTGAATGTGATATTGAATATCATCAGGAAGATCTACATAACTCAGTGAGCCAGTTTTTCCCAAACGACCACGTGTGATATTAGAAAACCACGCATGATGGGGCCGGCCCCGTGGCGTAGCGGTTAAGTGCACGTGCTCCGCTGCTGGCGGCCCGAGTTCGGATCTCAGGCGTGCACCGACCCACCACTCGTCCAGGCCATGCTGTGGCGGTGTCCCACATAAAGTGGAGGAAGATGGGCACGAATGTTAGCTCAGGGCCAGTCGTCCTCGGCAAAAAGAGGAGGATTGGCATGGATGTTAGCTCAGGGCTGATCTTCCTCACCAAAAAAAAAAAAAAAGAAAGAAAACCACGCATGAGCCAGAGCATTTGAAGTGTGAGCTACACCAGTGGATTCTGACGTAACAGAGGGGGTGCAGTTCAGTGTTATGGTTCAGATTCTACACTGCAACTAACCATTCAAAAGCACTCAGGCTCTGGTGGACTCTCAAAGAACATCCACAACGAACTGAAAAGGCTATTAAAATATTCCTCCCTTTTCCAAATACATATGTGTGTGAGACTGAATTTTCTTCAATAACCTCAACCAAAACAACCTATGACAAGACACTGAGTGCAGAAGCAGATATGAGAATCCAGGTGTCTTCAATTAAGCCAGACACTAAAAGAGATAGGCAAAAACGTAAACCATGTCCCTTTTCTTACTAAATACGTTTTGTTTTAGTTTTTATAATTTTATTTATTTTTTCCCCCCAAAGCCCCAGTAGATAGTTGTATGTCATAGCTGCACATCCCTCTAGTTGCTACATGTGGGACGTGGCCTCAGCATGGCCGGAAAAGCAGTGCATCGGTGCGCGCCCAGGATCCGAACCCGGGCCGCCAGTACCGGAGCGTGCACACTTAACCACTAAGCCATGGGGCCTGCCCTCTGTCAATTCTTTACACTGCATTGATCACTGGATGGGTCTGGAAGGATGCTGTTATAAAGTTGTGAACCTTGCTGGATCCCAATTTGAACACCTCAACCATAAAAAGAAATTTTTGAGATAATTGGGAGATTTCTCTATCGACTGGGTGTTAGTCAATAATAAGCAATCACTGTCAGTTTTTGTGTGTGTGACAATGGTACTGTGGCTACATAACATAAAGTCGAGCCCTCCAGAGGTGATCTGCATGTTGCTTGACTTTACTGGCAACCTCGGATCCCTGCTTCTTGCCTTTTATGCCATCTCAGCATGTGTTTTAAAAGATTTTATCTTGTTTTCGTTTCTGTTATCCAGTAATTCAGTTGTTTCCCTAGAAGGAAGGATGAGTTCAGGGTATCTCAACTGCTGTACCACTGGAAACCAAAGTGAGTATCTCTACGTGTAAAGCAAGTGAAATAACTCATTGACCAAACAGCTATATTTTATGCTCAGAGTTTTTGAGCTTTTTTCAAACCACAAGAAAACATTTCTATATAAACTGCTAGAAATTTGCTTCAGTAAACATGGTCAAAATTAATTTTTGTTACTTCATAAAACAGCACTCTACTCTAACCACCTGTGGAGGGCCTGGACTCAAGCAGCACTTTTTGGGGCCCAGCAGTAGCGCTCCTCACTACGTTGTGCCCCAGGCTCAGGCAGGCAGGAGGCACTCTTAACCTCAGCTCATGTCCTCCTCTCCTCTCTCAGCAGACTTGGGAAGGTTCAAGGGTGTGGTGAGAGAGGAGGTAGCACTAGATTTGGACTTCTGGGGAACTTTCAGTAAGTACAAGTGGGAGAGGGAACGCTGTAAGAGATGCAAGATGAAGGAATAAGGCACCAAAGGCAAGCCTGGCCCTGCTCAGAAGACTGGTGTTCAATTTCTTAGCCACAGGCCTTGAAACAGAGATAACTGCCCCTTCCATTCACCAGCTCTTTTTCTCACAATGGATGCCTTCCTCAAGGTTTTAGGGAGTCACTTACAGGAATGTCAGTGGTCTACTGCAGGGATGCTTGAGGAAGTCCACGAACCCCTGAAGTAACTTGCAAAACTGGGGAGTACGTAAATTTTTCTAGCAAGAAGGTCCATCAACTTCAGAATCACACGAAGACAATTACGCTTAAAATCTTAGGAGCCACTGGTTACTATATTTGTTTCAAAATGTAGTTTTACCACTAAGAAAGCACCCAAAACTAGCCCAATGAAGTATCATTTAATAATAAAACATAAATGATGATGAAAAACTCCACAGACTATTAGTAAATGGGTGCTTTTATAATAGTCAAGAAAGTGTAAATAGCTTGTCTCTCTGGGGAGCATGGCCTCCTTCCAACCAGCAAATGCACTGAAGCTGTCTAGGATCGATCCTCAGCTTACCCAGTTTCTAGTAATTGTACTTCTACTACATGCCTCCTTCCACCATTGATGGTAATTTACTTTTTAAGATTGTCAGAGACCCAGTGAGAACACACCTGTTTGTCTCCTTCATTAAGTACTTAAAGATATTTACTGGGGCGGGGGTGGGGCAGGTGGGAATAGTGTCTTATTTGATTGTGTAAACCTAGCCTTAACTCAGTGCTAGATTGTTGAGTGAATCAATGACTGAAAGCCACAGGGCTGTAAACAGGCGCACTCTACAGTTTTCATGCTCTTCATGTGCACTCCATCAAATATAAGCCTTTGTCTATAGTAACAACAGAATTAACAGCTTAAAATACAAACCATTTCTCTTTCTTCTCCCTATTAACACACACACTGGTCCTCACCTCATATTGTGCCCATGCCTCACTCCCTGGGCCTCAAGGTCCCCAAACAGTATTTCTATAATGTGTCACCCAGATATTAACCCACTCAACACTCTTATCCCGCAGCAAAGTCCAGAGGAAAGAGAACGAGGAGAGGAATCCGGTTCTCTCCTACTCGCCTGAACATCCTGGAGGAGGGGAGGGTCTGTGACAGTGCACGAGATCAACAAACAAGCCTCAAAAACTTCATCCTGCCACACAGTTTTTCTCAACAAAACCAAAGAGAAGGCAGCTTTCTCTCTTACCAGAGTGCCAAGGAAGGTGCTGATGGTGCGCGCCGCCTGGCAGAGGGCGCCATACTCCTCGAGAAGGAGGGAGATGAATTGGTGCGCCTGTGGAGGGCCCTGCAGGGCAGACGGCGCTTTCACTTTGGATGCAGCCGACAACTGCCGGAGGAGTCGGACCTTCATCTCCAGCACATACTCTCTGGCTTGTTGTTCCAGCCGCTGGTACAGCTGGTAGGGGTCCCTCTCACAGAGCCTGCACAGAAAAGAGAGAGTCACGACTCACCCGTGACCCGCCCACACAGGTCCCCTTGACGGGACCGTTTTTATACCGGTGAGCGTCTTTTCTGAAGCCTTTCCACAGGCACCCACCTAACAACCACCACCACCATCTTCTCACAACAACCTGTGAGACATACGATCACCTCACTCAACAGCAGGGAACCCGCACACAGAGAGCGTTGGGAACCTCTCCCAAAGTCGTCAGCTAACTGATGGAAAAACCGACATTTATCGAGAGCTTACTCTGTGCCAGCTCTGTTTCTCACGTGTATTAACTCAGTTATTCATTGAGTTAATCACCCAGTTAAACACTGAGGCCCACACAGGCGGGTAAGTTGTTGGAATTCACACAGCCAGCAGGTGGCAGAGCATACACACTGGTGCCTCGGCAGCTGGCCCAAGATGTACTTCTCAACCACCAGACTATTGAAAACATGAGACGGAAGATGATTTTTGAATGCTTATATGTTAACAGGTGAAAAGCACGATCCCAGCAGAGGTAAGACCTGGGTTGGAGGATTGCAGCAGACTGCTTTTCCCTTTTTCTAGGAATTCAGTATACAATCCAAATGGGCTTGTATTATTTTTATAAACAGAGAAAACTTTAGAGACAGTACATCTCTTTTTAAATAACCCTACCAAAAAAAACATTAAAAGTGTTTAAGTAAAATCTGTAAGCTGAAGAGCAGGGAATATTAATATATGGCCCTCTACCAAGACACAATAGCAATTAACATTTTCATGAATTTTTCCTAACTTGGAGATAAATCTACTTTTAAAAACTTGTTCAATAGTATTTGGCATTACTGTGGTTAAAGTGGTCACTTCTTTTAATCGTGCGCTACTGAGGAACCTCTAGATGGAAACGTAGGACCACTGAAGTAACAACTACAATAACCCATCACCAGGAGGAACCACTTTGAGTTCAGCACTTTATTAGACACAAGTTGTAAAATATATTAAGCTACAGTTCCTGGATTTTATATAATGGATCCTTTCACCTTCTGGGCACCACATTTGGTCAAAAGAGAAGAGTCTCTTAAGTTGTCATCTATTCCATTTTTAAATTACCACACTACCTAGGTTGTAAAAGACAAGAGCCAAGTAAAATCCCGCAATGGAACATGTGAAGCCTTATATAAAATGTGACTAAAGAAACAGTAAAATTTGATGGGATTCACACTGCATTTAGTACATTTCAGATAGATATGTTAATTTTTTAGCATAACGATTTTAATTAATTACTAATATAACAACTGTCCTCTGAAACAGAATGTATTTCATCTGTTAAAGGAAAGCCACAGAAGACTCAAAAGACACAGGGACAATCAAACTTAGAGAATGGATAGCTCTTTCTTAGTTCTCTTACCATGGAATTAGACATGCATTTTATTTTATTTCTTTGTCCATTTCTGTATCTTATAAATTACTGAAATGACCATGTGATACTTTTGCAAACAGATTTTTTAAAAGTTATATGACCAAGGGGCCGGCCCAGTGGCACAACCGGTTAAGTGCGCATGCTCTGCTGCAGCGGCCCGGGGTTCGCCGGTTCGGATCTCCTTGGCAAGCCATGCTGTGGTGGCGTCCCATATAAAGTGGAGGAAGATGGGCACGCATGTTAGCCCAGGGCCAGTCTTCCTCAGCAAAAAAAGAGGAGGATTGGCAGATGTTAGCACAGGGCTGATCTCCTCACACACACACAAAAAAACGTTATATGACCAAGAGGCAGGAATACGCGGAAGATGCTGTGGAAGCTTTCACACATACATTCAACAAATACTGGCACATGTGTGCTGGAGGCTATTCTAAGCTGTCAAAGCCAGAGCAGTGAGGAAGCCAGGTAAATAAACTCTCTGCCCTCACGACCCTTACAGCAAATGCATATATATATATATATATATATATGCAATTCAAGGCAGGGGCAGTAATATAATAAAGAAGGAGGTAAGGGAATGAAGAGTGATGGGGACAGGCTCCTTGGATTTTACATAAGGTGCCCTCTTTAAGAAGGTGACTCTGAAGACAAATCTGAACAATGGAAGGGAGAAAAAAAACCCTGAGAAAGGAAGAACATTTCAGACACAGAGAAGAGCAAATGCCAAGGCCCTGGAGTAGAAACGAGCATGGCCTGTAGAGGAACAGCAAGAGAGCCAGTGTGGCTGGAATGTAGTAATGAAAAGGTCTGAGAACAAGGAGATCAGGTGGGAGGAGGAGGCAAAGCAAGATCACACAGGATGCTGAGGGCTACAGAATGGAAAAAAGGATTATCATCACCAGTTGTCCAGGCTCCTAGAAACAGGCTTTAAAGACATCCCCTTCCTGATGTGTATCAGCATTTAAATAACAAAAAAAAGAGTGTTCTTGGACTCAAAGACTAGGAAAAATACAGTATACAGTCATGTATCACATAATGACAGTTTAGTCAATGACAGACTGCATATATGACGGTCCCATAAGATTAGTACCATATAAATGTGTCACAGGCTATACCATCTAGGTTTGTGTAAGTACACTCTGTAATGTTTGCACAATGACAAAAATGCCTAACGACACATTTCTCAAAATGTCTCCCTGTCGTTAAGTGACTGGTGATTGTACACGATATACACATGCCTAAATGGGAGCGTGGAATTTTTACACTCAACAGTATATTTCACTATTAGAGTAATGTTGTTTCTCAAACCTCAGCAATTCACATATTACCTTCATAATTTCTGCCATAACATACCTCATCTGTACTATTGCTGAATATTTTCTTTCAACTGTCTTTCATTTTACTTTAGCCTCTTCCCAAACATTCATAAGCTGTGAAGTCAGGGCTCTGATGTGCAGGTTATGTATTTTGTCCTAATACTCACTAGGACACCTAACTTCTAAAAAAGGCACATACCACCTGGAACCATCTCATGTAACACCAGAGGTTCACAGATCAAACCCTGAATACACTGGCCAAATTCATCAACTAGTTTACAAAACCCATGGCCAACCGCTTCTCCTGTCTCCAGGATAAGCTCTACTGTACAGCAAACGAGTTTATCAAGCCCTCAAAGGTGTTGCATTCAAAATGTGAGAAAAAGAAACCTAACGGAGAATCAATCCATGAAATGTTTAGCTCAAATTTATTGCTTTTATTTGGAACAATTCAAAAAAAGAGAAAAAGATGCTATAAACTATAAGGAAGAATAAAAATGAATTCTTCAATTCTCAAATTCTGTATCGTCACTGGGCACAAGGTATCTGTTGAAGAACACACATGGTGCTATAAGCCACTCGATGTGAAAAACACACATACAGACAGGCCTAGCTATGGCTGGTTCTCCACGCACACTACATGCACGTTCTCAAGCTGCCTGACCTCACACAGCCTCAGTTTTCTCACCTTGTAAATGGGATAACTGCTTTTCCTCCTCAGGTTGATAAATGCCAGAGTGCTTGAGAAAGTGCTTAGCATCATCCCTGACACAGTAAGTACTCAAAAGATAGCATTACTGTCAGTCTCAACACTGAGAAATGACAGAAACATGTCAGTTCATTTTTATTATATAGGCAATAAATGTTTCATCGGGATTGGAATTTGAAACGTTACCCAGAGTCTGTCTGCTGAGGACCTGCAACACACTGGAGGCTGAGCAGGCACAGCCAAGCTTTACCAGATCCTGGAAGGAGAGCCCACCCTGAGCAGAGGGGAGGCTCCCTGGGCAGCAGGTGAGGGAGACATGACACACAGGCAACATGTACCTATCCACGAGCTCCTTCACCCCCTCCTTGTCGGGCACGAGAGACTGATCTTGGTCATCTGCCAGTGGGGTCCCTGCCTGGCGGTAAATACAGCGGACCATGTAGCGCACCTCCGACCAGTAGTTCTGCAGCTGCTGAGGTTCTCGGTCCGTCTCTGCTGAAATCTCTCTGTAAGACAGCACAAGAGCAAGGAGGTCAGGGTTTGTACAAGTTAACACACTCTGCATCATCCCCACACTCTCCAGATAGCCTGAGAGGATAGAGGACGGAAAACAGCCAGCACCTCCGTCCACATCCAGTTCCTTCCCACTCCATTCGCCCACTCCCACCCACACCCCTCCACCTTGATCAGCTCCCGGAGCTGGCTCCCAATCTGCTGTTGCTGCAGGGAGGGCTGACGATATGTGTCTCAGCACAGCCCCCAGGGTGCCCTCGGCTGACTGGTCCCTGAGACCTTCATCTCATGAAGATTTCAGCCTGTCCTCGCAGGACAGGAATGTCCACAACTATTGTCCCAATTCAGGAATGCTGGCATTCCCCTTGATCTCCTTAACCTTCGCCGTGAAGGTGCCCATTAGGCAGCTCTCACTCCCCACAAAGCTCCTGGTCCCCATTCAGCAACACTGGCTCCCGAGACAAAGCACAGAACCGGTTCAGAACCCCTGAGTCCTGGCTTCTCTTCCCCTCCATCCTTCAGCAGCTGCAGCTGCCAGCCTCCCCAGCCCTCCAGGTAAGAGGCATCTCTCTGGTCTACTCACCCCGACCTTAGATTCTAATGATTTCGATATGCCTCCTCCTCTTCCTTTCTCAGGACTAGCTTCTTCCTGTTAATCCTCAAGGGCAGGAATGAGGAATGAACCTCATTCACCTGGTTCTTCCTCACAATATCCAGCCTACTGTCTTACTCTCAGGAGTGGCTCAAATGTGTGCTGTCATTTATGGAAACACCCCCGTTTCCTATTACAGCTCCAACTCGGATTACGTTCGCACCTGCACCCGTCTGTCTCTCCATGGTACCTGCGCTCGCTGCAGGCCTCGCAGGCACAAGCCGTGTCCGTGGGGGCAGCACCGCCCAGCCCCGCCGAGGGCAGCGTCTGAGCACCAAGAGCTAGCCTCCCACCGCCGCCTGTTTCCGGGTGTGACCCACCAAGAGGGGAGTGAAGAAGAAAGTCTTGGCTCTGCTTTAAAAAGAGAAGAGAATAGACTAGTTATGTTCAGATGTTCATGGCACAAATTTGTTATTAATTGTTCAGAAAAATGTCTTTTAGAAGAAATTTAAAATCTAGACATTGAAAATATCTTAACTGACATTACATAGGAAACTTTTTCTCTCTAACACCCAAGATTTTTGTTTGGAACAATTATTTTTTTACCTTCTGATAGCTATATCATAATCACATGAGGACAGTCAATGCATTTCTTTCATCCTTTAAAAGAGAGCAATTCTACTACTCAGCCATAAAAAAAGACAAAATCGTCCCATTTGCAACAACATGGATGGGCCTCGAGCGTATTATGTTAAGTGAAATAAGCCAGAAAGAGAAAGACAAACACTGTATGATCTCACTCATATGTGGAATATAAACCAACACATGGACAGAGAAAACTGGACTGTGGTTACCAGGGGCAGTGGGGGGTGGGCACAAGGGGTGAAGGGAGTCATATATATGGTGATGGACAAACAAAAATGTACAACCCAAAATTTCACAATGTTAGAAACCATTAAAACATCAAAAAAAAAAAAAAAAAAGGTGAAGGAAAAAAAAAAAAAGAGAGCAATTCTACTCTCAGTGTCCTAATTAGTATATGCAGTATCAGATCAACCGCAATGGGCACCTCCATGAAGCGACACACCCAGTTGCCCAAAATGGTGTTCAGTGGAAACTGGTGGCCACTCCAAGCCAAGCGTAAAGTGGCCGGAAGCAGAGGCCTCTCTGTCCCACGAAATCCCATAAGCTGTGCAGAGAGAACAGGAGGGAACAGGAGGCTTGAGACAGAGAATGCTCTGGGCAAAGACTGTAGGATGAAGCAGGCTCAAACTTTCATACCTCCAATACCCAACAGTACCTAAAAGATTTTACCAACAGCCACTACAGAGAACACAGATACAACCTTACGCCCCACCCCACACACCCCTTTCCTCCCTCAACTTCTCCAGTCTCAGAACTACCCACCCAACCAGCACCTTGTGCCTCTGTGACAGGACCTAAGAGGGACTCGGTTATCTAGGAATGTGGGCTCCAGCTCTAGAGTTGAAGCCCCTCACATGGTGAAGAAAGGTGCTAGGCAGGTCCCCCCAGTGCTCACTAACAGGGTAGCCAGCTCTACAATCATTGCACCCAACAGCCTGAAGAGAAAGGCAGAGGCACGGGAGAGGCTCTTGAAGGGAATTCACAGGCGTAAAGAGAATTGCGTCATTCCTTCTCCTGTCACCCCCTCAAATCAAGTATAAAGTCTTCAAGACAAGCCCTCAGAGACTAAGGTGTCTACCTGTCTCAGAGGGGCCTGGGTCTCGCCCCTTGGCTGAGTGCTTCTTCAGACACTTATAGCACCACCCCAGTTTGCTACTGGACAAAGCACAAGAAAACTTCCAAGAACCTGTTATGTGTCCCTCGGAGCACATGGACACTGATATTTGATTATGAAATGGAAAAGCCTGAGGGTGGAAGACTAGCCAGAGCCTCCCCAATGGACTGAGGGAGGGAGGAGGGGGAGCTAGTCATCATCACGTGGGAGGCCAGGTACGAGTGGACTCTCTGAGGGAGAGGGGCCTGCGTCATCATGAAAGAACTCCACCCAAAAAGGTTCTTGCTGGGTGAGTGGACCCTGGAATTATACCAGGGGGCAGAGCACGGATAGGGGGTGTCATAGAGTTCCCAGCAGACAGTCCAGTGCAAAGACCTAATCAAAGTCTAGGAAAACCTAAAGAAGAGCCTCCTACAAGCAAGAGCCAACCATTATGGGCCATCTGTTAGGACCTCAGGCCCTGGTCACCAAAGAGTACCACAAACAGCCTGGCAAAGAATGGAGACACCCAACTCCTCCTGCCCAGAGCCCCTTCTCCACCCGCAAAGAGCTGGGAAGGCACAAGAAAACAAGACAAGCACCACTGCCCTCCGCCCCCACATTATTCCCTTGGTGATTCCCAACATCAATCACTAAAGCTGAGGGGAGAAGCTCTAAACTGGATGAGACATTCATGTTTTTCTGTAGACTGGACTTGAATACCTGAAAAGGAGAAAATTCTAATACCAGAAGTGAATGGAAAGGTGATGGGGTCTGATTGATATACGTCATCACAGGGCAGCGACAGGCAGTCAGATAAGGTAGGTTTGAAGGCAGCAGTGGGAGAACCAGATTGCTCTCCAATAGCAGCAGGTCAGTTCACTTCAATGAAAGGGGTTTACTCTCTTCTCCTCCATCCCAATCAAATCCCATAGCAAGGTGGTCCATTCTACCTCCAATCCTAAGCAGATCCATAATCCACTCATGTTTCTCTCTCCATTGCTTCCAACCCAGTCTAAGCCACTGTCACCTCTTGCCTGGACTATTGTGGGCTCTCTACCAGCACCCCAATTTCCACCCTTATATAGTTATGATCCGTTTTCCAAGCAGCAGCCAGAGTGGTGTTTAAAATATAAGTGAGATCATGTGGCTCCCCTGCATAAAACCTTTCATACCACTTACTTCTGCTTTTACTTCATTGCACTTGTACACTTGTTCCCTTTGCCTAGAGGGCTACTGCACTAAATCTTTGAATGGCTTCTGACAGTCTCATAGAATTCTATCAGTCACGCCTCAGCAAAAAGATCACCTACTCAAGGGAGCCGGCCCCGTGGCATAGCGGTTAAGTGCACGTGCTCCGCTGCTGGCGGCCCAGGTTCGGATCCCGGGTGCGCACCGATGTACTGCTTTGTCAGGTCATGCTACGGCGGCGTCCCATGTAAAGTAGAGGAGGATGGGCATGGATGTTTGCCCAGGGCCAGTCTTCCTCAGCAAAAAGAGGAGGATCAGCACGGATGTTAGCTCAGGGCTGATCTTCCTCACACAAAAAATAAATAAATAAAAATCACCTACTCAGGGAAGCAGGTTGAGCCAGTTATCAATTTTTTGCCTCTCAGCTCCAAATCCACCCTTCTTTGCCCTGCTTTGTGATGAAGGAGCTGCATCCTGCAAACACTGCTCCGTTGCCAGGGGCGTAATATTTGGCCTTGTCAGCAGAGGACACTGAGGGGACACTGCAGAGGCAGGGGTCTCCCTCCTGGTCCTCAGGCTTTTCTCAGCTTGCTCCTACCACTTGCTCATTACCCGTGATGAACACTAACACCACCAAACACGTCATTACTGTGTGCTGAACACCCTCCAGGAAGCCCACCTGCCCCAGCCTGCAGCACCTCTGCTACCCAGAGGGTCCTATTGCACCCTTTCCAAAAAGGGCCTCTTCCAAGGGTGTCCCTCCTTAAGTCCTCTCCCTAACCTCCACAATAGTGCTCCCTATATTCGCCATGACTGTATTCTTTCGAGTTCCCTTCACAGATTTGGGTAGATGATCTTCTGTTACTAGTAATTATGATGTTAAAGTGTCCCTGTTCAAATTAGTGGTGTGGTGCCCATCTCCTGACCTTAATCACCCCAGTTAATCTCTTATATCACAAACTGTTATCTGACATCCTGGTGTTTTCCTTATTTTCTTGTTTTTTATCTGTCTTCATCACTGGAAGATCAGTTCCACGAGAGCAGGACCCTTTAGGACCTGCTTACCACTTTACACTAGCACCAACAATGCTACCTGACACACAAGATACGCTCAGAAGAGCAACCAAGAACCTGGAAATCTGGTGACAAGGGATGAAGTTAGGCCTTTTAAAACACGGTGTATGATGACTATACAATAAATCCTTAAATGTGTCACCTTAATTTTATATAGATTTAACTTCAGTTAAATTGTTCTGTCCACGCCCAAAACAGTTTAAAAGAATACAACAAAATCCAGCATTCAGCAATGTAAAACGTACAATGTCCAGCATCTAATAACAAAACCAAGAAGCAGAAAAATATGATGCATAACCAGGAGGAACCCAATCAATAGAAACAGACCCCCAAAATAACAGAGATGATACAGCCAACAGACAGAAATCTGAAACTGATGATTATAAATAAACTCCATATGTTCCAGAAAATAGAGGAAAACATAAACAAAACAAGGAGAGAAATTGAAGATGTGAAAAATAAGCAAAGAGAATTTCTAGAGATGAGAAATAAAATATCTTAAAAGAAAAATATATACTAGATAGACTTAAGAGCAGATCAGACACACAATAGAGTATCAATAAACCTGAGGACAAGTAATAAAAATAATCCAAAATGAAGCACAGCAAGACATAAGACCGAAAAAAAATGAATAAAGGTTTAGTAAGACAAAATCAAGATGTCTAACATACAGGCTAAGGCATCCCAGGAAAAAAAGGGGGGGCTACATGAAGAAATAGCTGAAAAATTTCCAAATTTGATGAAACTGTAAACTGACATATATCTTAAAAGCTCATTTAATCCCAAGCACAATAAACACAAAGCAAACCACACCAAGGCACATCAGAGTGAAATCGCAGAAAACCTGTGATGAAGTACAAATCTGAGAAGCAGGCAGAGGAGAACGTCCCCTCCTGTACACAGGAGCAAAGATAAGGACAACACCGTGCTTCACATCAGAAACGCGGGAGGCCAGCAAGAGCTGACCAACCTAGAATTCTGAACAAAAATATCTTTTAAAAATGAAGGCAAAATAAAGCTTTCAGACAAAGAACAGAAGCTTCTCTGCACTATAGGAAATTTTGAAGGCAGTTCCTGAGGCAGAAAGAGAAATGACCTCAGATGAAAAGGTGGAGTTACGTGAAGGAATGAAGAGCACCAGACATGATACAGATGTGGGCCAAAGACTCTTCTCACTTTTGAAGTCTTTTAAAAAAGTTAACTATTTAAAGCAAAAATAATAAAAATGTATAGTAAAGTTTATAATATTTTTTAGAAAAACATATAACTACACTAGCACAAAAAATAGTGGCGCTCAGAGTATAACATCGTATGGTTCTAACACTACGTGTTAAGTATATAATAATATTCTTTGAAAGTAGAGGTTGAAAAGTTGAAGATATATACCGACAGTCCCCAACTTACCATG